AACCATATTTTTCACAGGTTAGGTTAGGTTAGGTAACGGGGATAAGGTACCTACAAACTTATGTACGAAATAATTTTTATTGAAATGTGGATTTCAATTCACGTTAATTATAACGAATTTCACAATTTTTAATATTAAAATTATTTTTGATACTGGTTTATATTATCATTTATATGGTCGTATATTTTTTTTTTWATAATTTTTTTATCATATAATTATAATATCACACCGTTCTTTTCATATAATTTATTGTACCTACATACATCTGTGGATTAGTATTTGATCAAAATTGAATTATAATAAATAATAATCAGAATTTAAATATCTTTGTAGCTGAAAAATTGTGTTCAAAATACAAGTAAAGAAGTCGATGGGAGAGGGTGTGGGGAAAAAGCACCCACAGGTATGTGTTAAGTAATAAATTGTGCACTTGGAACACAGATTTTAAATAGTTGGATTGAGCTTCTCTGTTTAATTTTTCATAATTCGAGCACTGCCTATAGGCCTAATCTCCAACAATTATTGCGAATAACGAAATGCTGTGTAGATTGCATTAACTCCTCTTATATATTATTATGCGTATTTAGTGCTCACGCGTTTAAATTTTATAGATGAATTTTATACATAGCTTGAACCGTACTTTATTTCAATGTTGTGCAATGTAATAATTTWAAACGTACCTTTAATAAGTTAACATTTGTTTTAGAAGGATACGACCAAATACGAAATAATATATTCGTTTTATCTTACATTTCACTTCGTTGCTTCGTCTTTATGGAAATTAATGTAATTCTGGGCTTACGACAACGGCAACGGTTCATTTTAAACTTTCCTTTCTAACTTTGCGTTTGTCTAAATTCTTTTGATATGTTTTTCGATGATTTTATGATTCAACGACCGAAATGGCGTATTGTAATATTGTGACTGCCGACTGTTAGGTTGGAGATTGTAGTCTAGAATGTCTGAATGTCGTAATAAAGATTGTTAATGACTATTAATATACAAAAAAAAAAAA